AGTTGGTTATGTCTCATGCTGATTTGAGATAAAACTTTGTCATTATGCCAACCCAAACAACCCAAACAAAGTTGAGCAAAATTGTTATTGCTAGACCCAAACTTTTGTACGTGAATATTTTAACAAATGGCTTGGATAATTTTAATGAAACTTCACAGGTTGTCACAAACTCTAAATGTACAATTTAGGTTCACGCACAGCAAAACCACATTGTTCAGGTGTACAGGAACTAAATTCTAATAAAAAAAAAAAATCATCCAATTAGTTTGCTTTGTTACGTATGATTTGTTATAAAAATCAATTCCAAAATTGTGTTTTACTACAGACTTTAATTAAGGTTTAATTAACATTTACAAGTAAAGGAACTGGTTATTACTGTCAAAACCATATTTTTGCTTACTGTACTAGCTATAGATTCAGATGATTTCATGATTTGTCGCCGATATAACAATGTGATTAAAATCAGATCCTCGTTGCTCCTTTTTAACGATATGTCGCTTAAAGATAAGTAGCATCAGAATCTGAGATCTGTAGGTAGTGCATTTTGGTACCTGCTAGAGGTAGGTATCGTCATGTTCTAAAACCTAGAGGAAGACAGAGTCATTATCTGGTACCTGTTACTTATAGGGTGCTTCTTTATTGTATGACACAACTGGGTTTGTTTTCTGCATGTTGAGAATCACATCCCTAAATATAATTCAGTTCCTGATACCTTTTTTATGCCCCCGTAATCGAAGATTCGGGGGTAAAGATTTTGCCCTGCCCGTCCGTCCGTCTTCTGAATGTTTGTCTGTTTGTCCGTAAAACTTTAACATTGACCATAACTTTTAATTGGTTGGAACTATGGCTTTCATATTTCACAGGTGTATTCCTTATGACAAGACCTTTCTTTGGGTACCAACATATTAGACCTCTTGACCTTGGAGTTTGACCAACTTTTGCAAAAATTTACCTAACTTTAAAATTTGCCATAACTTTTGATTGGTTGGAGCTATGGCTTTCATGTTTCACATGTGTTTCCTTGTGACAAGACCTTTCTTTGAATTTCAACATATTTTACCTTTTGTCCTTGACCTTAGGGATTGACCCACTTTAAAAAAAACTTCAACCTAGGTCATAACTTTTGAATATTTAGTACTAGGGCTTTCACATTTCAATGGTGTATTTCTGGGACAAGACCTTCCGTCGGATACCAACAATTTTGACCTTTTTATCTTGACATTGGAATTTGACCTACTTTTGAAAAACATTAACGTTGGTTATAACTTTTGAATGGTTGGTGCTAGGGCTTCCATATTTCACAGGTATATTTGGAGACAAGTCCTTTGTTTGAGTAACAACATTTTTGATCCCTTGACCTTAGAGGTTGACTTATATTTGAGAAACATTAACCTTCGCCATAAGCTGCGATACGGGGACATCAGTGTTTCACAAACACATCTTGTTTCTTTTTAATCTTGATGTCTTTTTTCATTTCAGTTGAATGCAAGAGGAGTTGATTGCTCAGTTGTGCCTTAAAACAATCTTCTCATGGTTGGCCACTTTTTTCAGAGTGCCAAATTTAGATAATCTTTTTAATAGTATAGTAACGAAGTATTTAAATTATTTGAATATAGGTCCACTTACTGCGCGCAAAAATTTTATTTGCTGAGGGAATGAAATCAATAGTTATCGCTCTCTGATCATTGAATCATTCTCTGCATTCACAAGTCGCCTGCGTGGGACAGTGGTTAGAGCGTTCGATCTAGAGTCGCGGAGTAAGGAGTTGATCCTCACGTCGCGGGTTCGAATTCCACTGTGTGACGTGGAGACGGTCCTTCGGATGAGACCGTATAAACCGAGGTCCCATGTCGCATTAGGTGCTGGCACGAAAAAGATCCCTCACTGCTCAATGGCCTTGAGTGCCGAGTATAGGTCAAAAGGAGATGGGCGAACAAGGCGCACAGAATGCCTATAGCTTCAGATATATAAAAATCATAATCAATTTGTGAATTTAGTATTTAGAGTAAAGTTCTCGAAGACCCACTCATATCGAAAAATTGTTTTTTAGTATGAGAAAATTATCCTTTTTGCCCTCTCTAGTGTGTGTATGCTATTTCATAGGCAAAGAATTTCAATCTTAGTGAGATTTTTGCAAACTGTGGATATTTTACATAAAGCATACTTTAATTTTAGATGAAATATCAAAGAATATTTTGTTATAATTGAGATTTAATTTTTCACGTTCATGTTTGTTGCACTATAGGCATTGTTCTCGCCTTGTTCGCCCATCTTCTTTGCAGCTCTCCAGTGTGAAAAATTCTCGAGAGGGACGTTAAACAATAAACAAACAAACAAATCTTCATTCACAAGCATTCTTATCGGATGATATGAAATAAATCGATATTTTTGTCTCTAGTTATGCCCCCCGTATTCGAAGATTCGGGGGTATACAGTTTTTGCACTGTGTGTCCGTCTGCCTGTCTGTCTTTCATTTTGAATGTTTGTCCATATTAACTTTAACCTTGACCATAACTTTTGATTGGTTGGAGCTATGGCTTTAATATTTCACTTGTGTATTCTTGTGACAATACCTTTATATAAATACAAATTTAGTTCACCTCTTGACCTTGGAGTTTGACCCACTTTTGCAAAAAATGATCAAACTTTAACCTTGGTCATAACTTTTGTACAGTTGGTGTTGGTGATTTCGTACTTCACATGTGTATTTAATGTGACAAGACCTGTCCTTTGGTATAAATATTTTTTACCTTGACCATAGAGTTTGATCCTCTTTTTTAACCTTGGCCATAATGTTTGAACAGTTGGTGCTAGGGCTTTATATTTCACATGTGTATTTCTTGTGACAAGTCCTTCCCCTGGGTATCAATGGTTTTCACCCTTTGATCTTGACCTTGGACTTTGACCAAGGTCATGTCATAAGAAAATACATGTGAAATATTAAAGCCTAGCACCAACTGTTCAAAAGTTATGGCCAAGGTAAAAAAAAATGTTCAAAAGAAGGTCAAACCTCAAGGTCAAAATTGTTGGTATCAAAAGGAAGTGCTTGTTACAAGGAATACACCTGTAAAATATAAAGGCCCTAGTTCTAACTGTTCAAAAGTTATGGCCAAGGTTAAATTTTGATATTTTTTTTTGCAAAAGCGGGTCGAACTCCAAGATCAAGAGGTCAGATATGTTAGTACTCAAAGAAAGGTCTTATCACAAGGAATACACTTGTGAAATATGAAAACCACAGCTCCAACCAATCAAAAGTTAAGGGCACGGTAAAAGCTTTTGTGGACAAACAGGCAGACGGACGGCAGGGCAAAGATTATTTATCCCCGAATCTTCGATTACAGGGGCATAAAATAGAAATGAAACGATTTCAAATGCCCAAGAATTACTCACTGAAAAAAGTTTGGTTGCATCAGCAAAAATCCATTTCTAATTTAATAGGAGTATTATATACCTTTAAACTATGTAATTCTTTTTACATTTTTAATTATGTCTAGTTTAAATCAATATGCAATGCTTTTTATATCAAGTCGACATATAAAGACACATCTCGTTTATAATTCGACATCTTGCATTGTGCGGGTGTCTGTGTGTTTATGTGTGTGTAAGGGAGGGGGTGGCGGGTACATGTAGATATCTATTGGTCTGGGAATCGCGGTTCTCCATTAATCCAGGACTGTGCTCACTAGGCAATATATAAAAAAGTTTAGGGCACAACCTTACAAAAATTCCTTTAGAAGCCAAAAATAAAATAAAATAGAATGAAATATAATTTTAAAAATATAAATAAATCAAAAAGTAAATAAATAAAATTCATCAAACATTTTTTTTTTAAATTTTATTTTATTGGGGGGGGGGGGGGCAGTTCCGTAAAACACCTTTTCTATTGAATATTATATAATCATTAATGTTAAAATTATTATGACGACCCGGCCACTAACCCCAAGTTCGCCTGCACTATATGCAAGATAAGAAATAAGAGAACATTAATTCTCTATCTTAATTATTACGTTTTACAAATTAGATAAACATTAAGCGTTTTAGAGAACGATTTAGATGGAACTTTTTAATACGAGAACCAATTTATGTATGCGAGTTAACTCGTGCGCACTAATGGAGAGATAATTCTTGTCTTCCACCCTGCAGGTGGTACCAGATAGCCTCAACCATCAAATAAGCCAAATTCTGTAAATGTGAATATAGAAATGAAAGATAATAGATCATTTACAATATTTCATTACTATCGAAAATGGATCGAAATTGAGTTTCCAAGGGATCGACAGTTAAAATTGCTCTTCGTTTTCAATACACAGAGTTTGTACTGACACATAGTTGCCCATAGTGCATTTTTTGCCGTAATTATCTGACGACCTTTCCTTGTTTGTGTCCTCCATTATATGCCACAAGTATTTGTAGATTATAACTGAATTCGCACAAGAGGCTGCTTCAATGTCTTAAAGTTCACTGTGCCTCTGTTCACTCATTTTTAATTTTCCTTTAACGCTAATGATTTTTCAAAAAATCTAATACAACATTAAAATGCACACGATTTTGTCATACACTGCTGGGAAAAAACAGAACTTCATAATTTTATAAAGGATTCATTGACATCAAGTTATCTCTCTTAATAGTGGCCCGTGAATATTCTCCTAATTCAAATACGAAATGTTGTTGCAGGCATACTTCATGTATATTCAAGGAAACCTTCACAACACTTTAGCGATTGCAGGACTTAGTAGTTCCAAGAGAGACACCCCCCCCCCCCCCCCCCGTACCAAACCCTTTCTATCTTATCTCAACTTCAAATGGAAAAGTTTGAACCCTTTTTTCTCCTCAATGAAGAATGCTTTTGATCAAATTAAGATTATTTTTTTTTAATTTTAATGCGTGGTCGATTTAAAAAGGTTAAGCAGGCAAAGGAAAATCTTCAGTTAGAAAAATTCGCATGCTTGAATAGTCTTCCTTTCATTTGCAGAATATACGACCAAAAAAAAACCCCAATAAAATGTTTTTACATTTATTCTGTTTACAAGTATAGCCTTCCATAAATCATAAAACACTAGAAAAAATATAAAACGGACGATCGAGTCAAACTCCAGACTCAGACCCTTTTGCAATAGGGAGGCGCAGCGTTTGTTTGTAGGTAAAATTTGCCGTGAACATTCTGATCGACATGGTAACCCATTCTGTTGCAGCCATTTGTACACGACATGCAACTCCCACGGTAGAAGTCCAAATACGCTGTACAGGGGTACGCCTTAAATTCACAAGAGGAATTGATGGACTCAATAAAGAAGTAGATAGCCCGCATATGACTGCATGCTACACTTGCTGAAATCTCTGTGGAAAGAAGAATATGTTAGTTTTCATTAAAGTACATTTTATTTGAGATCAGATGTGTATGATATGGGGTTTATTGCGAGAATCGGGACACTCAGTAGAAACAGTGGAAAATATCATAAAGAATAGAGGAGGAAAATGAAGAAACAGCAGGAAATACTTGTAGGCCTACATACTTCCCATTTTTCCTTGAAAGAAATTCATAATGTTGCTCCACAGATAACGCTTGCATCCGGGTTGTCTTGTGCCCCCGTTTGGATAGAAGTCAACATGTCCATTCGGTGTCCTGATTCCAAAAGCTATGGAATGCAAAAAATATGATTTTAGCCAACAATTTCAGATTTTTTTCCCTCTGGATGAATTATTACTACAATTTTTACTAACCCATTTCTGTCAGAGAGGCTCCATCGGTATGAATGACGTCAACAAAATTTGCGTCAGAAGTATCCAGTCTCACTTTGGTGTCAAATTTTTCAAAATATAAACCAGCTGGGTCCAATCCTGAAATTCAGAAGTGACAATTGTATTGTGATTAGAGAGAGAGAGAGAGAGAGAGAGATTTCATTACTACTATACATGTGTATTTTAATTTTATAATTTTTATAGACATACTAGTATTTTACATATGAGAGAAATGACGAAGGGTGGTTCTAAGAAAAACTTCATTTACATTTCCATTGCAAACTGATGTTGGAAACCAAAGGCTGATCTGTAGCAGTGGGGGAATTATTACATACCCGTGATTCTGCCAATACCCCGCACCCAGTCCCCAGCATACCCCATAGTGTGGGCACCGAGACTGTGACCAATAAGATGGACCTGTCCCAGAGGTAAGCTGGCGCTATCTCGTAAAGCCTTTATCATGTTCCCAATGGTGGCGCCAACCACGCGAGTATTGGCGGCGGACTGACGGTAAATTCTGCCCTGGGTGCCCTTTGACCAGTCAACAGCTATCACATTCATGTCTCCCTAAAAGAGAATGTATACATTTTAAAACTAGAGGTACTGTGAGCACTGAGCTCACTAAATGATACCCCCGCCCGCCTCCCATATGATTATAATGACAAGGTCAATGTTTTGCTCTGGGAGACCCGAAATAAACGTCAGATCAAAAAGTAAGATAGGAAGTCACAATGGCATAATGTAACAAAGATTATGTGAAAGTCTCATTAAATTTCATCCAGTGGTATAAGAGGAGTTGCGGATAAGAGTTTGGTACCCCAAAGCGTAACAGACGGACGTACAGACAGACGGACGGACGGACATCCCGATCACTATATACCCTCCCACTTTTCAAGCGGCGGGAGTAGGGGGGGAGTATAAAAATACTACTCATCGTGATATGAACACAAAATTAATTTGCTTTGGACTCCTTCATGGAAAGTACCAGTTCTTGAATAGATCTCTATAATTTGAGGAAAGCTCGAATATATAAAGCTACAATATATTTTCTGCATAATGATAATGATTATGTGAACAATTTCAAAACAGAAATTCAGCAAATAATAATGCATGTAATAGGAAATAAATGTTCAACAAACGTTTTATGTTCTTATTATAGTTGGGAGTCATACTTTAATTCAAAACTGATACTACATATTGGAAGATGAAAATAGATAATGCACGAATTCATGGCATAGGCGCTTGGTTTCAGGATGGTGTATTTTGTTTATTATGTGTTTATCTATGTGTGTCTGAATACACTCATTAAAATAAATAAACAAGATGTGTTTGTGAAACACTGATGCCCCCGTATGGCAGCTTATGGCGAGGGTTAAAGTTTCTCAAATGCAAGTCAAAATCCAGGCCAAAAGATACAAAATGTTGGTACCCAAAGAAAGGTCTTGTCTCGAGGAATATACCTGTGAAATTTGAAAGCCCTACTGCAACTGTTCAAAAGTTATGGCGAAGGTTAAAGTTTTTTAAAAGTAAGTAAAACATCAAGGTCAAGGTCAAAGTTGTTGGTATCCAAAGAAAGGTCTTGTCACAAGGATTACATATGTGAAGAGTGAAAGCCCTAGCACCAACCATTCAAAAGTTATGGCCAAGGTTAAAGTTTTTTGTAAGTAAAACATCAAGGTCAAAGTCAAAGTTGTTTGTATCCAAAGAAAGGTCTTGTCACAAGGATTACATATGTGAAGTGTGAAAGCCCTAGCACCAACCATTCAAAAGTCATGGCAAAGGTTAAAGTTTTTTGAAAGTAGGTCAAACTCCTATGTCAAGGTCAAAGGGTCAAAGTGGTTGGTTTCCAAAGGAAGGTCTTGTCACAAGGATTGCATATGCGAAGTGTGAAAGCCCTAGCACCAACCATTCAAAAGTTATGGCCAAGGTTAAAGTTTTTCAAAAGTAGGTCAAACTCCTAGGTCAAGGTCAAAAGGTCAAAGTGGTTGGTATCCAAAGGTAGGTCTTGTCACAAGGATTACATATGTGAAGTATGAAAGCCTTAGCTCCAACCGTTCAAAAGCTATGGCCAAGGTTAAAGTTTTTCAAAAGTAGGTCAAACGCCTAGGTCAAAGGGTCAAAGATGATATCCAGAGGAGGGTCTTGTCACAAGGAATACACATGTGAGGTTTGAAACCCCAAGCACCAACTGTTCAAAAGTTATGGCCAAGGTTAAAGTCTCATAAAATTTTGCAAAAGTGGGTCAATCTCCAAGGTCAAAAGGTCAAATATAATGGTACCCAAAGAAAGATCTTGACACAAGGAATACACATGTAAAATATGAAAGTCATGGCTCCAACCAATCAAAAGTTATGGGCAAGGTTAAAGTTGACAACAGACAAATAGGACAAAAACAATATATCCCCGGGATCTTTCGATCCGGGGGCGTAACAAAATCGCTGAAATTAGCACGTTTAAAAATATCATATTACAGTATATACATGTAAAAAGATTGAAGGTCTTGGGTGTCTCGGTTCACACTTGATTTTAATCAATATCTACACTTTCCCGTCCCGTGTCCAATGAGATCATCTAGCTTAAAAATGATTGAATTCATTTTTTCAGTTCGTGAATGATTCATGACTTATACACGCTACAGTAAGTTTTATTTTGTCCAATTGGATTTGAGAACACATTATTAACAAATGTTACATGTGTATTTCCTGGTAAACTTAGTTGTTTAATGATATATGGCATTTATATGAAATTTTGCAGAGAATTACCAACATTTTCGAGAAGAGCGTCCTTCATCTCCAGTGGCCACCCAGATTTTGCTGTGTCTTGGTTTCCGTGGGTGATAAAAATAGTCGGTAGATTGGAATCAAAGTTGGTTTTGGAGACGGTGTTTGTATCATATGGATCCAGGGTCTGGGCAGTATCTTTGTTCTGTCTGGTGTACAGACTGAATGTGGTTTCAATCTTACTCGGAGACTGGGGCAAGGTTCCCCTTGCATTACTGAACGGCTGTGCGTTGCTGAAACATCCTATGTGGGTGTAACAAACTTGCTTTGGCTTTGGTTTGAAAAACCACCACCCTAGAAAAATATTTTTTATCAAATACTAATATCAAGAATGTAGCTATCTCGAAATCTTTTGCTTGTTTAGTTCTAATTCGGCACATTTTTGCACAGAATATTATAGTTTGAGATTGAATTCTTCTAGATACCAGTTATTGTTGTTGTTTTTTACCTTGGGTGGATGAAAGCAGAAGCAGAAGTGTTATGCATTTCAACATCGTGGATGAATTTGGAACAAGTTTATCAATGACCAGCTGAAAAAGAAATAAGTGCAGTTTTTAACATCATATAGCATACTACGAGAAAATGTCAAGGCTGCATATATATATATATATATATATATATATATATATATATATATATATATATATATATATATATATATATTACAGAAACTTATTTATTCCGAATCCGCAGTCTGTCCGAAAATCAATCTTATATTTATATTCAACAAGAGTTGTTCTAATGGAGTAATGACCCCGTAAGGCAACTTAAGAATTGTGTACTTTAAGAAAAACGTTACCATCTTGCAATAAACACAGGCACTTGGGGGGCAGGACCCCCCACCCACCCCCTTTCAATTCTTTTTAAAATCTGAGGTCGACACACCTTTTTATCCCATTTTTATACCCCTTTGCATGGTTTTTACACGGACCTGTACTTAATGAGAACATATACCAGTAATATCCATAAAAGTCCTTGTAATCACGAATAAAAATAGCATGCAGAAACATAAAATCTGAAATAAATTCCAAAGCAATAATCATACTTAACTTATATATATATATATATATATATATATATATATATATATATATATATATATATATATATATATATATATATATATATATATATATATATATATATATATATATATGATTATAAATCAACGTACATGTATATGACATTGTTAAATGTTACATCAAACATGTATGATTCTATATTTGTTGCAGATACTAGCTCTAACATCTTTATCGTTAACCAGTCAGATAAGAATAAATTAAAAACCTAGGCTGTTCATTGGTGGGATCGAAAAAGTCGTACATGATTTGTTGTACAGAAGAGGAACATGCTCTACTTCCAAAACTGTCAAATACGACTTTACATATGACTTTAGAAAGTCGTAAGATACAAATAATAACGTATTCTTTTGTCATGAGAAAGCTTTGTGTCGAGTATGAAAATTGGTCTTTCAGTAAAGGCTTTCAAAGGTCATACACGGCCCAAAGAACATTTGAATTCTTAGCTATGTGACATTGCCTATTGCTTAGGAGAACAATGACTTCTTTGTCACGGGGATTCTTTGTGGCATGTACTTTGGGACCAACTGATGCAACTCCAGTACTCCAGTAAAAGTTTTAGGTGTAAGGTGACAATTCTTAAACTTGTGGCCTTGACCTTGTCCAAATAACCTTGGTTCAGTGTTTTGTCCTACATCTTATTCTATTCTCAGACCAAGTAAGATCTAAAGTTATTCTATTCCAAAATTATAAGATTTTATAACTAAGGAAAGGCTTTGAAAATATGCTTTCAGTTCACAGCGACTTGACGTTACATATACTTCTTACCAAAAAAAAATATATAACCCGTACCAAATGAAATCATCAGTAACAAGAGAGTTACATATTTTGTGATAAGAAATATATATAACGTCAAGTGCCCGTGTCTGAAATCTGTGACTTTGACCTTGCCCAATTCCTTTGAGGGCATGTGCTCAAGTATTATGGCTAAAATAATTTTAAAAACATGCAACTCTAAAGATTTCATTAGGTAGGGGTTAATTTTTTTTTATATATATAAATTAAATACTTTTTTCAAAATTTGTGAATTTGACCTCAATTGAACTTGGTACCGGATCAAGTCTCATTTTCACAAGCTAGTTAATTTCAAGAAGTCTTCTAAATTAAGTTACTCGTTTTCAAAATTGTTTTCACTCTTCGTATTCCTCTCAATGAAGGTCTATGCATTAAAACCCCGAAAAGACTAACTTTCCAAATTTTTAAAAATTCATCTGAAATTCATGCTGCTTTCAGTATGTAATAATATATAATAATATTGTTGAAAAAAATGAAAAAGCTGGTAAAGTTATATTTGAAAGTACTAAAGAAGTTTCGGTGTTTGTAAAAAAAAAAATCCACCAAAGAAAAAGAAAGCCATGGATCACAAAAGACTGTAAATTTGCTCGAAAGGATTTTAGAAAAGCAAAATGATTAAACGATTTGGTATTAACATTTTCAAAGAAGACTAGTCTGTACAAACAAAAATTAAAATCTGTTCAGAATTATCATAGAAAAGCACTGAAAAGGAGATTTTACAATCCAAAATAATACTAGAAAATATCAAATTCTGACTACATTAAAAAATGTTGTAGTGTAGAATTGTCCGATTTATATATATATATATATATATATATATATATATATATATATATATATATATATATATATATATATATATATATATATATATATATATATATATATATATTTAATAAAGATTATTGTAACATGAAAGTATATAAAAAGTGGCCATGTTTTGTCTGAAGAAGAATTAAAAATATTCTCGAGTATAGAACTCGGTAACAGTATATATCAAGCAATTACACATGAAGAAATTACAAAATGTGTAAGTATCCTGAAAAACAATACATAGGGGAATAAGTCATATTTTGTAAACAAATTTTACATCAAATATCATCTACATAAAATTTTATGGTATACAGTAAATTGGGTAGATACCCTATTTCAATTTATATAGAGGTAAGAATGATAAGTGTTTGGTGTAAAGTAACTTTTTCACGCAGGCATATATTTAACTATACTTCTCTTTAAACTGTAATTTATGTCAGTTTAATGAATATAAATTCATTGGATAAATGGGTCCATAAAAATCACCGAATCTAGCTATATACAATATCATGTAGTTTGATCTTCCTTTTAAGGTTCTGGGGCTGTCAAACTGAGACAGGCCAAAATGATCAAATTAAGATAAACTGGACGCGATCAATGAGGCGTGTTCCCGTTTTGCACCCAATTGATAATTAGGTAGAGAACAATAGGCGTGAAAAGTGTTTTGATAACAATTACATAAAGTATGCTTTCGATATGGAATTTAGCTGGAATTACCTGTATTTTACCAGTGTATTGTTAAGTAAGAAGAATTTAAGGAATACGCAGCCTGTTTTCATTTATAATAGACAAAGAAAGTAAACCAGTTACTTCGTATCTCAACTCTGCTTCTCATGTTGATAAAAATAAATCAAAGATGCATTTTTTTTTTTGAGCGACAGACTGAGCAATTTAAGTGATGTGTTTTACTCTAACTTTACCAGCAACATACATATTTATGACGAGTTTAAAATACATGCACATTCATAATTACAGAAATGTTGAGAAAAGATTTACTTCAAATCTGTGTACTTTTACAATGGAAAATTTAATATATACAAAATTTTGTCAAGATTTGAGCAAATTTGAATCAACAATACCTGAGAATGTTTCACTTTTTCTGATGTAGTGGTTCTTGTGAAGAAGAAGTTTAAAAGATGCCATTGATTTTTCGCAGTAATTATCTCCGCTTGGAAGAAAGCGTGACCAAAATTCATTTCCAAAAATTGAGTCCCCTTTACCCAATTTACCCAAGGATACGTTGTGGCAAGTTTGGTTGAAATTGGTCGAATGGTCCTTGAGAAGAAGTTGAAATTGTGAAATGTTTACGGACAGATGGACAGACAGAATGTGGTCAAACTCACTTGAGTCTGCTGAAAAATATTTAAATAAGGCAATGTTGATTTTAACTGTTTAATGTTTTATAAACTTAACTGTAAAAGAGTTTTTTTTCCGTTTCATAAACTGCATATTTATATTAATGCGTTTAAATACCTAAATCAAGTTACATAATTTATAAGTAAAAACCTATAGAGAGATAAATAGAGAGAGAGAGAGAATGAGAGAGAGATTTTCACTGGATCGGCACTTATGGCTTTTGAGCAGTGATGTATCTTTTTCTTGCCAGCACCTACGGTCTGTAGGTTTCATCCAAAAAGACAAGTCTCCACATCCTGCAGTTGGACTCAAACCCTCGAAGTATGAGTCAACTCTATACTTTACGACTTTAGAACTATCAGGCTCTAACCACTGAGCAACGCGCGACAGGATTCATTAATCGAACATTTCCAAAACTTTGAGTATTTAACATCAAAACTGACATTCTGTTTATCAAGAATTTCGATATATATATAGACGCTTCAGAATGCCCATCAATTAATATTAAGGTAGACAATATGAGAAATTAGAATTTTATATACAAGTAGCCGTTGATTTTGACCACACAGGTACATGTATTCCGCCATTACATGTATGTGGTGATTATCAAAATTACAAATTCTTAGTGCCTGTTGATTTAAGCGTAAACTTAGTAAGATAAGTCCATACATGAATTGAAGCTTATAAAATTTTAAGGAAAAAAGGACCTTTCAAGACTTACGCGTCTTTTTCCTTCTCGCCTTGTCACATGCAAATTAAATGAACGAGTGTCATGCTTTCCTAGTCTTTAAAGGGATATCCGATATCACGTGTCTTTTGTTGTTCCCTTACAGGCTACATGTATTGTTGAGTCGGCCTAATGTTTTGATACGGCCTGTTGAAGCTGGACTTTTTTTTGGGGGGGGGGAGGGGATGAATGTCTCTTTTCTGTTTTAACTTGATACTCGTATTGTACCAACTACTAGAGGAAATCATCGTGAATTTGACAATTTAAACATTTCATGAATATATATGCATTTTTTTAAATTTACATTTTTAAATCTAAATATTTTTCTTATCCATATCTTACTGCAAATACAAGCAATACATCATTTTAAACATCAAATCCTGCATTTTTATTCCATGTGAAAAAAAGTCAGGGAATTGAATCACGGTATTATAAGTTATATTTACAGTACTTTCTTTCGTTTGTAAGGGATTTATTGTACAGAGAGGCGTGGCAGTCGAGTCGCGCAGCGACGAGACTGTCACGCCTCTCTGTACAATAAATCCCTTACAAACGAAAGAAAGTGTCTGTAAATGTCTTGTGTCATGGTCATTTGCATAGTCACTCCTTCAGCACCAAACTGCACGCGACATTACGTCATAGGCCTAGGTCCATCGTAAGTGAACAGGCCCGGTGTTCAAACAAAGCAGAAAGTACGAAGGAGATGGTTGCATTGAAAAATCAAGCAATGTTAAACGAGTGTGAAATTGTATTTGAT